AATCTTTGTTATCATAAAGAAACAGCTTTCCCTACAAACAATAGTTATCAATAGTTAGTATCACTTAACCTAGTGGTGCATATAAATGCCCGCCTTAATATATATTAAGCTATTGAAATAAATAAGATTTTGGAAATTACTTAACATTGATTATTACATAATATAGTAAGTTCAAAACATTGCCAACTTCAGCTGTAAAATCTTTACTGCAAGGTCCCAAAGTACAACTATTTTAACACAGAAAAAGCTTGCCTACCCCCAGCTGCGGGTGACAACAGTGACCGGTGTCAGCTGGAGTTGGCCCCCAAAAAAAAACAGTTATTTTTTTTTTTTTTTTTTTTTTTTTTTCTTTTTTTTTTTTTTTTGATTTCCGACCAGTGGGGGCGCGCCACGTCACTGGGGGCGCCACCCCCACTGGGTGTATGAAGCATAACTGTTCTAGACTATTACATTGGCTTTGGTCTTCCCTGCCTAAAATTCTTTAAATTGCAGTTTATAAGTCAATAAATTAATCAAAACTAAGAAAAGTTATATGTGGGTGTTTGAGAAGTGAGTTTTTTTTGTAGGTTTTTTTAGTTGTAAGATATTGTTGGAGAAATTTTTTTTTATGTTTGGAAAGATAGTTGGATTTTTTTGTAGTTTGATGTGATATTTGTGAGAGAAAAAATGAAATGATTATGGGGTTTGATGTGATATTTTGTTTGAATTTATTTTTTTTTGATTTTGTAATCAATTTGTCTTTTAGTGAAAAAAAACAAAAAAAAAAAAACCCTAAAAAATTTGTTCCCAAACACCAATTTTTTAACATTTACAATGGTTTAAATAAGTTATAATATTTGATAACCTTTTTAGTTTTTTTTTGACTTTTTGACTTTTTTTATGCTAAAAATAAATTAACCTTTCTATATGTGAAAAATGACAAAATACCTTTTTCTTTTTTGTTTAAAAAAAAAAAAAAACTTCTAGATGAAAGTCAAATAAAATGACTTATAAAGCAGTGTCAAAGGAGACCCTAAACTTGATTATACATAAGAAGAAAAAAGTGACATCAGGGATTCAATTTCATTAAGATTTTACTCTCTTAAGATGGTTAAATGAAAGAATAGACCCAAACATAATTGAAGTGAAACCAAAATTATAACATGGTGAGAAATATTTATACATAAAATTTATGTACAAAAATTCTCACACGAGCATAGATATCACATACATAAACTTTACATTCATGTGAAAGTTTCTATACATTTTCTGTACATCTAGCACTATTCTAACACGGGGAACCTGCGTCAATAAATAATTTTCCTTAACTAATCACAAGTCAAACAAGAACCAAACTCTTTGAATTTTTTTTTTTCCAGGCCTAACCCAAATGAGAAATGGGGCAAAAAGGTCAACCAACTCAAGCTTAAGCCAAAGCTAGTAAACCCAACAGAAGAAGGGCATTTAGGTCATTACACACAAAATGGTTCCGAATTTATTAACACCGTAGGTTTGTTGTTAAGGACGGTTTAGCAATTTTTGGGCCTAGTAACCCCCCTCCCAAAAAAACATCAACTTAGTAATTTATTTAAATTATATTATTTCTTTATTTTTTTATACCTATTTTTATAATAATTAAAAAAATCAACTTATAAACAATATCTAAAACAACCATTAGTACTATTTTTAAAAATAAAAATATAAATAAATCAGTGTTAATTTTAAAAATTAATGATAAATTTTATATATTTTAATAATTAAAATTATGATTTTTTTTTATAAATTTATAAATATTTTATAATTTTAAAATAGTACTATTGCTTTGTAAATCCTCCATTTTTTTGATCATCAGTACTTTGTTGTGGTTTGTGTCTGCAACATAGTTCTAGTTGGTGGGTCTTCTCTCAAATTCTACGCACCACCATCCTCTTCTCTCTGCCCTCTCCTCCAAATGTTGAACTCTCAACAATAGACAAAGACACGATTGTGGAGAGAGAAAGTATCAGACAAAAGATAATATATACAATACATATAAAATATATAGTTGTTCCTCTCTCTGTTCTGCTTAAATTCCCAATTCGGAGCTCTCTTTAAGCTTAATTTCTGTTTTTTTTTATATGTAAAAATTCTTTACTTCTTTTTTTTTTTTTGATATATATTTTTTCTCTGAATTAGAGCTTTCTGTGAAGTGGGTTGGTGTTTAATTTAGAGAAAGATGGTTCTTTGGATCTGTTTATGAGATTCTTGACCTGAGTTGACTCAGTGTTCGAAATGGTTCTCAATTGAGATTTCTAACTATTGATTGATTAAAGAAAAGAAGATCTTGACCTGAGTTGACTCAGTGTTCGAAATGGTTCTCAATTGAGATTTCTAACTATTGATTGATTAAAGAAAAGAAGAGCACAATGTCTTGGAAGAGCAGAGGAGCAGAGTCGACTTTGAAGAGTGTTGTGTCGAAAAAATTGACTCTTCTGTTGTGTATTGGATGCTTCTGCGCTGGAATGCTCTTCACTGACAGGTTAGCTTTAAATCTTTGTTTAATATCCCAATTGATGACTTCTATTGATTTTGATTTGTATGGTGGATATGTTCGATTTGATGAAGTGGGCATCAATTGTTTCATTGAAATTTCTGTTTTTTTGTTTGGAATGTTTTTAGTGGGTTATAGATTTGGGGGTCAGTGGGTTTGTGAAATTTGCTCATTTTGGAGTGGTGGTTATGGAAAATTATGTGGGATTTGGTGTTGTTTTGGGATGATGTGAATTTTCATGTGGTGTTGTTGATCCATTATGCATGTAGTAGGTGTCTCTTTTTGTCCATTTGAATCTAAAGATTGGGAAGGATGTGAAATTTATGTTCCAAGTTTAGGTTCCATAAATAAAATTCAATGGTTCAATGCCACTGTGATGAAGACCAAGGGATTGACTTGGTGGATGAGGTGCTCCTTACCGAGCGTGATGCCCGTTTTCAAGTCTTACTGTTGCAAGGGCAACTTCCCTTTAATATTCCCCTCAAACTGTTTGCAAAAAACAAAATTCCACTGTGATGTTAGTTTGGATATTTCATATTAGGATGATACCGTCCATCATTTTCAAAGAACATTGTCGTTGTCGTAAAATTAGAGCCATTGATTCCATGTTAATCACCAGCATACCACAATGTTTTTTAGGCAAATTCCTAGATCACCCTATAACCGAAAGAATGTGGAGAAGAACCAAAGTAGAGTGGTTTCACCTACTCAGGGTCATATCTTCTTCCCAGTGAAACTTAATTGTCCATAGAATTACGTTTGCTGTGTACTTTACTTCCTGAGACCTTGTTTGTTGGAGTGATAGCGCTTTTCTTTTGGAAGGTGAATGTCTGGCCAAAAGGTCAATTTCGATAATATCCTGTGCTTCTTCTTGAACAGAGCTTGCTGCTACCTGGGTCTTGTCTCAAGCTGTGGTATAGACCATAGATGAAGTCTCCAAGGGGCAACTTTCATGTAGTTTGTGATTGGACATTACTCTTAAGACTATTATATAAATCTTTGCCAACACAAGACCGTAATTAGTAATTACAAAGATAATTGCTCCGAAGCCCTTATGTGTCTCAGTGTCTGTACTATTTTCTGATTGCGCAGAATCTATCAATCAATCCTAGCCAACTTGTCCCATCCTTTTTATGAAAGTCAATCCTTCTTTGCATGTAGTGACAGATAGCCCTGTTTGTGACTTTAATTTGTCTACCATCTCAAACCTTTTTCTTTTCTGTAGATAATATACTTTAGTTTCGTATTTATCTCTGGATTATGAAATTGAAAGTTCTCATTGAGATTTGTTTAGCATCTGTACTGAGAATATATATATATATATACAAGTATATAGTTTTCTGAATTTGCTGCCTGATACCTATTACAGAATTGAGCCCTATTTATTTCATATTGTTGCATAGAGATACAGCTTCTTGTATATGTGTGTCATAATAATGAGGATGCTTTGGTAATAGGATGTGGGCTGTGCCAGAAGCTAAAGACATATCAAGGAGAATGGGGATTGAAGATGAAAGTCTAAAGTTAGTTTCGGAGGGCTGTGATCCGAGAATAGTGAGTACACTTCTATTAATTATGTAACTGAGAAATTAATCCCCACTTCCAACGTGAGAGGGGTGACCATGTATTGATATCAGAGAATTCATCTTTTTTTATTATTATTTTTCCTTTTAAATTTCTAAATATTAACCTGATTTGCTTTTTTATGATCTCATCAGAAGCATGAAAAGAAAGAGTCAAAGGACATCTTAGGGGAAGTTTCAAAGACGCATCATGCTGTACAGTAAGTTAACTGATATTCATTATAGCAGGAGTTCAATGAGGTTGAAAATAATTTGGTTCATCTGTTGATGAGAAATTGTGGCTATATGCATGATGCGCAGTACTCTTGGTAAAACAATTTCAAATTTGGAGATGGAATTAGCCGCTGCAAGGGCAGCACAGGATTCTATACTTAGTGGTTCCCCAATAACTGGAGACTTGAGGATCACCAAACCTACAAGGAAAAGGAAATATCTGATGGTCATAGGTATTAACACTGCTTTTAGCAGCCGAAAGAGGAGAGACTCTGTCCGTGCTACTTGGATGCCACAAGGTTCATAAAATCCCATGCATTTTTTTCCCTTTTTTATTCTGCTTTTGATTATTTGATTCATGATCCTTTTTCTTCTTTTTTTTAAAAATGAAAATCAGGTGATAAAAGAAAGAAACTTGAGGAAGAAAAAGGCATCATAATTCGATTTGTAATAGGTCACAGGTAGGTGATGGGGAACATTCAAGTCCGATCTTGTTAAGTACATCTGTCTCTTAATGTTTAGTGATGTTTATACCTTTTCATTTGAAACTTTTGTTGAGTGAAATCTTTTTTGGTAGGGTATGGAATCTGTAGTTTGTGCCTGGCTGCAGTCCATAGCTCACCCTTCTCATGTGATGATTTGTTGGTTGTATAGAAGTGTTTGTTTGTTTGTTTTTTGTGGGAAATTACACAAGTAACTTGAGAGTGTAGAAGGTGTGCAGCTCCAAATACCGCTTTATTTCATAGCCAAGGACTCTAGCAACTTGTTCACCTCTAAGTACACGAGTAAAATAACGACAAACCTAATACGTTGATATCAATATTCCATTCTTTTGGGCATTCATTTCAAAACTGTATTATCCATGGCCATTTTTGCCTTCTTCTATGTTATCTTATCATATCTATTTTCTTTAATATATTATTGTATTCTATGCTCCGTGTATAAAGAAGATCCTAAATTTTGTGTAACTTGCCCAAAATAAAAGAAAAGGTTATATCATATGTGGCATCACTATCTCAATCATCTCTTAGATGCTCTCCTGACTTCTAGCTCTCAATCATCTCTTAGATGCTCTCCTGACTTCTAGCACAAGGCACTAACTTGGGAAGGCCTTAAAATTATCTAGAACTCGTAAAATACCTTCTGCATCTCTACTTTGACAATGATGTTCCCAAAAACATTTCAAAAAATTTAAACATAAATATTTCTTATAGATTAAAAACAATGTGCTAAAAAGCACCAAAAAGGTTCAAGAAACCTCTTCCTTGCAAATTGAAGATGTTAACCTGCCTTGGGGATATCAACTAGAAACAGACAACCTCAAATTTATTTTGCTATGCAGTGACAGCAGTAGTCAATAAACAGCGTAGTTCCACCAAATTTCACTAGTCATTGTTCGTATTGCATAGTAAAGTTACAATAAAATAGGCTTAAATTTATGAAAAATTACCTCATGAGGCAAACCTGATTTTGGCTTATATTTATCATATACTCCTCTATACAGAAGTTCTTGAAGCATTTTGGAGAGGCGTGAGAACTCATTTGTTGTCCTTTCTTGGCTTTTTCCCTCCCATTATTAAACCTGCTTAGGTTTTTATCATTGTTTTGTATTTAGCCATATTTATGGCAAGCCATTTTTTCTTTATTATTGCACTTGTTTATCATTGAAAACTTATTGATTCTCTACTAATACTACTGAAAAAGCTTTATTGGAAAATGATTTTAAGAAGTAAAAAGATACCATATTTTGCTCAAATGGGGAACTTCAAACTCTATACCAAGAATATTATAGTGTAGTATGTGAACATCTAGATTATAAATTTTTAATATGCAACTTATGATGGATTCAGTCTAATTTCTTCGCTTCTCTCCATTTGACCATTTGATCAGCAGTGCTACGTCAGGTGGTATTCTTGATAGAGCTATTGAAGCAGAAGACAAGAAGCATGGAGACTTAATGAGGCTGGTATGCATATTCTGTCTTGTTTCTCTTAAGCGTTTGCCTTATCTGCTGTTAGACACAATGATAGACATGTATACTGCCAGCCCAGGAAGCACGGACACTTCAAAATGGTTGCTGTGTCCGTGTCTAACCATATGGGACACCAACATGCCACAGACATGTGTGTCTATCTACATGTGGGCCACACCACGTGGTGTGTCATTTTTTCAATTATTATTTTTTTGCAGGACACGTTGGACACTTCACGGGCATGCATGTCATGTGTTTGGACACACCTCAAGACACCTTTTATGGGTTTTTAGAAAAATAAAAAAAAAAAAATTAGGAAGCTGATTTAGGGCCAAAGTAAAACATATTAAAACAAGTGAAAAAAAAATAAAAATAAACCCATATATACATTGATGTCTCTTATACCCTGCCGTATCCCTATCCTAATTTTTTCAAAATCACTGTCTATTGTGTCCCTACCCGTGTCTATGTCTGTATCCGTGTCTATGTTTGCACACACACGCCATTGAAGGCTTTGCAGTTGTCCACAAGAGAGAAATTGACTGGTTCTCACCTGTCATGTAAATACAATATGTGTAGGAACATGTTGAAGGGTACCTTGAACTCTCAGCCAAGACAAAGATGTTTTTTACCACTGCTGTTGGTCTGTGGGATGCCGATTTCTTTGTCAAAGTTGATGACGACGTTCATGTAAATATAGGTAAAGATGCATATATAAACCATCCTTCTGTCACATTGGAATGTGGATTTTATTTGTATTTTCTTTCTCATTTTTGATCTTGCTCATGGATTACAAAATTTAGAGCTTTGTTATTTATTTTTCTGTTTTTCTAGTTTTTCTAATTATTATTTTTGTCATCCTTTCTTATGTTGACTCCTTCTACGCAATGGCAGCAACATTAGGAGCAACTTTAGCAAGGCTTCGGTCAAAACCCCGTGTGTATATTGGATGCATGAAATCTGGTCCAGTCCTTGCTCAAAAGTAAGCTAAGCTTTTCTCCTCACCCCCTCCCCCAAAACTCCCTAATTATTTGTTTGTTTCACTAAAATGAAGTGGAATGGAATGATATCATTCATTCATAATGTCTATTCTCACATTTGGTTCATTAAAAAAATGGATAGAAAATTTATTTGGTTCATTAAAAAAAATGATGAAAAATTTATTATAAATGAAATCATCATTCACTATTGTAAAAGATTAGTCATTTCATGGAGAGACTGAAGAATGGCCATTCCATTCCATTTTAGTGAACCAAATACTACATAATTCTGTCTTATTTCTAATATGCTTTCTGTAAATAGGGGAGTGCGATATCATGAACCTGAATATTGGAAATTCGGTGAGGAGGGAAACAAGTATTTTCGTCATGCTACCGGGCAGCTTTATGCAATTTCAAAAGATTTGGCTACTTATATATCAATAAACCAGTAAGTGGCCGTTTGCCTTACAAAGGAAAAGTATCATGCTTTTACCTTTATTGATTTTTTGTATTTATCTTATTATTCTTTTTAATTATAATCATCTTAGGCATGTGCTGCACAAGTATGCTAATGAGGACGTTTCACTGGGATCTTGGTTTATTGGATTGGATGTGGAGCATATTGATGACCGGAGATTATGTTGTGGAACTCCACCTGGTAATGATATTTGGCTACATGTCATTTCTTCCGTTGAAATATTGAGTATTCTTATAGTTATAGGAGGATAATTTTGAGGAACAATTGCTCATTAATCTACTTTATGCCATCAGAGTGTTGGAATGTGTCCCACATTGCTTGGAGTTGCCCTATCTGTGCTAGTTATAAGGCTCTAGTTTCTTTCTCCTTAATACCTGGGTTTTAAGGAGAAGTGTGGGCTAGGCTTTTCAACTTGGTATCAGAGCTTGGTTGGGCCTGTGACTGGTAGGCTATTTGTCCAGCTAATGTGTGTTGTGGTCCAGGAGGCCTGTGACTGGTAGGCTATTTGTCCAGCTAATGTGTGTTGTGGTCCAGGAGAGTGTGTTGGAATGTGTCCCACATCGCTTGAAGTTGCCCCATCTGTGCTAGTCATAATGCTCTAGTTTTCCTCTTCTTAATACCTGGGTTTTAAGGAAAAGTATGGGCTGGGCTTTTCAACTCAGAGTGGTCTTTGAGTGGCTTAATGAATTATGTCTTTGGCTGAAAAAAAATTTTCTTCATTCATTGCAATTGTCAGCAATTCAATTTTCAACCAGTATATAGCTGAGCTACACTAAGTCAAAAACTTTCTGAACAGGACATTCCCAAGGGCACAAACTGCATCTTTAGGAATATGTCACGATTGATCAGAGTCTCTCAAAGACTACATGAACCACACACAGTTATTCTGGTACTGTGATTTCATGATTGATCTCAACCCCTTAATGACTACATGAAAAGTGCACAGTTATGATGGTGTCGTGGGATATGAGTCAAAGACGCAACCTTCAAGCAATAAGTAGACTTTAGTGATGAGCTAAGAAGCAGGGTCACAGACACAGGACACAATGATTTTGAAAAAAAAATAGGATATAGACAAGCCAGGGATATGGAAAAAAAATTAAAATTATTTGCTATATATATGAATATAAATTTAGGACATAGAGATATAAGAGACATCAATGTATATGTGGGTATCTAAAGGATGAAGCCGGTAGCAGTGGTCCTGATGTATTTTTTATTTTATTTTTTATTTTGTATTTTTTATTGTGCTTTCTCTCCTCTTTATTCCATATATTTTACTTTCATTCCAAATAAGCTTTCTAATATTATAAAAAAATAATTCACAAAGGTGTCCCGACATGTCCTGCAAAAATACAAAAATAAAAAATTGTGTCGTTGTCCTGTAAGTGTTAAGCGTGGACACGACACTTATTTTGAAATGTCCACGTTTCCCAAATCATGAGATACCTTGTTTGGATCCTGTAACTATCACTCCTAGTTATCAAATTTTAGTCCTTGCTTGATGTCCACTGATCACCTAGGGCATGCTTGGGAACTAGAGGTTGCCTATCAGCTGAACCATTTGAATGAATTGATGTTGTTTACAAAGGTCTATTGCATTATCACCTGATCTATAACCATATTACTACTGTACGGGAAAGAATTAAACCTTCTCGAATAATCCTGTTGATCAAGTCTGCGCTCCTCCAAACGTCGTCGCTTTACTCCCTGAAAACACAAACGTGAGCTAGCCGGCGGGTGTGTGCCGGAAACCCCTCCGATACCTAAGTCAGAAAAATAGACAAAGACAAAAAGCTCTGTGTATCAAAGTTGTGTTACCTCTCCATAGGTGATGTTTGTGAGCTTTTATAGGTTCCGTGTAGCACAATCGAAGTAGAACTCTTACTCCTCCGTGTAGAGTCCTCCTAGGATTCATACTTCTGAAAGATAATGCTTATCCTTTTAACACCCCCTCACTGCTTAAACCAAGTGAGATGGTTTTACCATGGTCGGACTCCAATGTAGCCGAGGTACGCATGGCTATGCTTAGCCGTAGAACAGACCGAAGTATCCTTAGTTCGGTTCGTCCTTTTACTGCCCTTACCTCAATTCCTCTTGTGCAAACCGTGGTAAGTCTAAACCAAGTTAACTTTTAGTAAGGTTTAGACCGAGCTAACCATACTGCGCCATAACCGGTATAAGTTTTAGTATGGTAATCGAGCTAACCTCCTTGGGACTGGAGTAACTTTAAACCTCTTCAAGACCGGAGTAACTTTATGTCCTTTTTACTCAGCCCTTCGCACTGAGGCCCATAACGGCCAAGCTCGGCCCAATTTTTCATATAAATTACCCTCTCAACTACTATTAAAAAAAAAAAAAACTACATAGAGAGGAGAATAAATAAATAAAATTAGTGGAATCTATGAGTAATAGTTTTGTGATGTAAATGATTACCACAGATTGCGAGTGGAAGGCTCAAGCAGGCAATGTCTGTGTTGCTTCCTTCGATTGGAGCTGCAGCGGGATTTGCAAGTCTGCTGAGAGGATCAAGGAGGTTCACCGTCGGTGCGGAGAAGGCGAGAATGCTTTGTGGAGTGCAGTTTTCTAACAAGCACATATCTTCCAACCTCTGGAGGAAGCACACGAGCTTGTATCACGGTTATTATTATAGAGAAATTGTATGTAACATCAAACTGTAAAATATGTGTAAGAGAGATGGGGACGCAGGGCTGCTGATGGGATTCTTCTCCGTTTTAGCTGGGGAGAGAAAAAACCATGCAGCAACGAAATAGAGAGAGCAAGGACTAAGTACCATTCTTTTTAGATGATTGGAGAACCATATTGTTGTTAGCATGTGTGGATACCAATCTGAGTTTCGTAATAAGTGCCAATGCTGCCTTTTGTTTCATGTGGATTTGTTTTCAAGTTTTTGATTTAGTTTTTATCTCATTTTCATGATTGCAATTGAGATGGTGATAAAAGGTCCTATCTTTTTATGGTTCTCTTTCCTTTAATCTGAAGCTACTCTGTAAATCTAGAGGCTCTTTAATGACTTTGGACTCATTTGACTACCTAAGACAAGAAATGTGAATCTGATTTGAGTCACCTCAGTGATGGAATGATCATATTTTTGGTTGGTTTTCTTGGTGCTTGACAAGCTATTTCTAGGCAATCATTGAGTTGGATTGACTCAAGCATTTGTGGCTATTGAATGTTGCTTGAGAATATGAAAATATGTTCTTGTGGTAAGTTTTGGAGAATGGCTGATGGAATAGAGCATGCTTTTCTAGGGATAAGTTTTATTTTTGTTTTAAATATATATATAAAGCATCATTATTTAAAAAAATACTAGTTATATTAATCTCTCTCAGTGGCTGAGTGGCAAGTTGAGCTATGACAAGCGTTTTAGATGTAGAATACGAGTTTGAATCTCATGAAGCGTTTGATTCATTTAGGTTGTGTTTTGATCATACATTTTGATAAGAACTTGAATAGAGAAAGGCAAAAGGTCGGTGTTTCACTCATATTTTTTTTCTTTTTCTTTCCAAAATTTTACTCAAATTTATGATCTAAATACAATCTTAGGATCATTCTGGAGCCTGTCTCTCACAATTATTTGGTATATGTGAGATGGGAAATTGTATGTATGTAAAGACTAGTTGGGATAAAATACTTACCAAAAAACTAAGATATATTATTTGAATAATTTTTTTTTTTTAGAATTCAAATTGCATTTAAATATAAAGTAGGGCAATAAGTGAAAGTAATAGGTAAATTTAAAATAAAAATAAATAAAAAAAACTCAAAAAAGAATTTTTATAATACTCACTTTTACAAAAAAGAATATACAAAATTATTTCAGGCTCTGTTTTGAAGAGCTTTGGCATTGTGATTGCAGCTCTTAGTTTGCATATGGTGTTTGGTTGTAGTTTTCAAAAATTAATTCCACACTCACTTTTGAAAACTCGATCGAAGGCGGAAAAATTTGGGCTAACCAGACGTCTAGCCGGTTGATCGGAACAGTATAATTTTTTTTTTTTTTTTCAATTGATACATGTTAATTTTTATATATTCAACAAAAAATATTTTTTGAATTTTAAATTTTTTTTATGAGCTTTAATATAATTTTAAGTTGTGTATTTAGTTATGAGTCGTAAGTTCTTGTATCAAATATCATATATCACATCAAAAATTTCCCATTTAATTCAAAATTCTTTTCAAAACTCATTCACCAAACAAATTTTTTACATTCAAATCATAATTTTAAAACTCACAAACTTAAAATATAACTCTATTTTCAAATCATATAGAAAACTCTATCAAAGGCAATCTCAATTAAATTATTTCAATTTTTTTTTGTGAATTCAAAATTGGCAGGAGTAATTGCTTTCATCAACATCAAAAACGTGTTCATGATCCAACCATAATTTTTTCAATCTGGTTGGTTGTCTTTTCCTAGAAATCACTTTTTGTATTACTTAAAACAATTTGATAGACAACTTTCAAGTTAATGAGTTGGCAATTTTTGAATTACTTAAAAGTTGGCCTCATTTGAAACTAGAAAGTTCACAAGAAAGAATTGATATTAGTTTTTAGAAGTAAAAAAGCAATATTACTAAAATAATTTCTTTTTGGAAATTACTGATTTATCAAGCTATCTAGCAACAAATTATAAAATAAAAAATAAAAAAATAAATAAAATAAAATAAAAAACAAAACAAAAAAATAAAATCAATGAAGTGAAGTGAATTGAGTTGAGAAGGAAAATGCCAGTGCCTTCAGAGTCGACTCAATAAGGTTGTAACTCAGGTGATTCCAATAGAGTTGTTAAACTTTGGTGTGGTTTGGTGGCGTTGTTAGTTTTGTATTTTTTGTAAACAAAAATATTTTTTTGTTTGTTTTTCTTTAATAACAAAATAATATATTTGTACGATTTTCATAGTTAAGGAAGTCAATATATATGGATTTATAAATGAGAAAAATAAAAATAGCGTTTGGTTTACTTTTTAAAACTCCAATATGTTTTTAAATCATGATTTGGATCAAAATTCATAACCAAATAAAATTTTAAAATACAACTTAAAATTACTTTCAAAACTCTTCTCTTCTCTTTCTTTTTTTTTTATTATTAATCAATCACTTTTTCTCTTTCATCTCTCCTCTCACATTCTCTCACATTTTATATATCAATCAATAAAAAAAATTACAAATCATTCCAAAAATATCTTCAAAACTCATAACTAAATAAATTTTTTCTTTTCAAATCATAATTCAAAAACTAAAAACTAAAAACTAAAAACACAACTCCACATTCAAATCATAATTTTAAAATTAAACTAAACCGACCCAAAGTGATTTTCACTAATAGTTTGGGGGGTTTAGTGTAATTTGTTGGAAAAATAGTTTAATATAGGCATATTATTGAGCCCAAATTTGAGTGGGCTCCAAACATCTTTTGGGGTGGGTCCGAAGAGGTGACTTGTTCCTTACCGCATGGCAAGTCACACGGTGAAGACGAAACGTAAAAACCATTTATGAGTGAATGGGAAGTTGACGTCGTTTTCGGGTTTAACATTAATTTTTTAGATAAAAAATTCTTTTGAATTTTTTCAATAAAAATTATTGTGGGAATATAATTTAATTCTAAATTCAAATTTTGGATTCTTAAGTGGTTTCCTAAAGTTTGTAATTGTGGGAATTTATTTAAATTCTAAATTCAAATTTTAGGTTCTTTAGTGATTTCTTAAAATTTGTATCTCTTACTTTATTTATTAAAATTTTCAATTTAGTTATATATATATATATATATATTCTAAATAATTTTTAATAAATAAGGTTACAAGCAGTTGACCAACGGACAACCTTTTTCAAATTTGTTTGAATATAAGGTTTCATAGTGTTAACGGTTCGAAACTGTTTTGGATACTTAACAGGTAGCACCTGTTCGGGCAGGTTTTTTGTCTCATTTTTTGCCTATATATAGATGCTATTCCAGCAGTTTTGGGACTTGGAAAAATTCCGAAAATTTTAGTATGATATTCCATCATTGCTGTCCAATTTTTCTCTAGTGCATTTATTCTTCATATTTAGTTTTAGAATAAAATAGAGAGAGTATAGATCACAGGTTTGATTCGCCGAACAAATTGTTTAAAGTGCTACTACAATTTGTGAAGATCATTGTATCCTGAGAGATAGACGCCACTCAACCGTAAGCACTGTAGCAGGGCGAATCTGTCTTAAGGACAGAGTGTCACACACTCGACTTGGTCTTAATTTTAATTTAGTTCGATAAATAAATCTGGTATGTTATTTATTTATTTTGTTTGAATTTATTTCGATTTATTTTATTTACACAGAAGATTGTTCCAACAATCTTAAGACAGATTCGAATTATTCTGTTTACAGAATTTTTCGATTGTTTCCCTTTTTCATTCATCGTAAATAATTTCAGAAGAAAATTATTTTCTGTGGATTTACAAAATAATATTCTGGTTGGAAAAACAAATAGTGTTTATATGCTATTTGACAGATAGTAGTAATATACTGTCTCTTTTCTTTGACAACAACTAGTAGTACGATACTGGTGTCATTAACAATTCAGAATATATTTTTGTAGAATTTTTTCAGAAATTAATTTTGGGTTTTAGAAATTATTTTCTGAGTTTTCATTAATTAAAATTCTGTTTTCAGTATTTTAATTATTGAAGTGTTACTGAAATTAATTTTCTGTGTGGAATTAATTTGGTTAAATAAAATTTTATTTTATTTCCAAATTAATTGAAAAATAAAAGTTATTTTCTTATTTCTTTTATTTTACAGAATTTAATTTCTTGTGTAGAATTATTTGGTTAAATAAAATTTTATTTTATTTCCAAATTAATTGAAAAAATAAAAGTTATAGTTTTATTTCTTTTATTTTACAGAATTTAATTTTCTGTGTGGAATTAATTTGCTTAAATAAAATTTTATTTTATTTTCAAATTAATTGGAAAATAAAAGTTACATTCTTGTTTCTTTTATTTTTACAGAATTTAATTCTGTGAATTTGGTTTAATTTTCTGTGTAGTGTAAATTCTAATTATAATTTTGTTTTATATATTAGAATTGATGGCTACTGAAACAAATGCCCAAACAAGTACTACTGTGGTGGCTGCAATGACGCCAACCCCCTCTCCTGTGGTGACAGTGCTAATAAATCATGGAGAAAAGCCAGAGAAGTTCTTAGGAACTGACTTTAAAAGATGGCAACAGAAAATATTGTTTTATCTTATAACTCTGAACCTGGCTCGTTTTCTCCGTGAAGATGCTCCTATCCTGAAAGAGGATGAAACCGACGGGCAAGTGGTTGTTGCAGTTGATGCTTGGAAACATGCCGATTTCCTTTGCCAGAATTATGTCTTGAACGGACTTGATAACACATTATACAACGTCTACAGTCCAATCAAGACAGCAAAGGAACTTTGGGAATCATTGGAGAAAAAGTACAAAACGGAAGATGCCGGCTCAAAGAAATTTGTGGTTGGCAGATTCTTGGATTTTGTAATGGTTGATTCAAAAACTGTGATCAGCCAAGCTCAAAATTTCCAACTCATTTTGCATGACATTCACGCAGAAGGCATGTCACTCAGTGAATCCTTCCAAGTTGCAGCCTTAATTGAAAAATTACCAAAAGGCTGGAAGGAGTTCGAGAACTACCTCAAACACAAGCGCAAAGAAATTTCTATGGACGAATTAATTGTGCGTTTGAGAATTGAGGAGGACAACCGTAATTCTGAAAAGCAGGCTGGCAAGCATCCTATGGAGTCTAAGGCAAATGTGGTGGAACATGTTTCAAAAACCAAGAAACGAAAGTCTTCTGGAGAAAGTTCATCACAAAGCTCTAAAGGGGGGATAATAAAAAGTACAAGT